TTGTTACAGTAATACAGCCTCAGGCTTTGCAACAGGATATCCCCATTCTTTCAGTTCATGTATTAAATCCTTTGATATCAACTTAATTTCTTTCCCTTAATTCAACAATTAGAAATTGAAATTAAAAAATTATCTTATTCCATTCTGCTACTATTGTGATTCAGGTTCAGTCTGTGTGGGAGGGTAGTAATAGACAACTACCCTCCGGGGCTGACCCGGCCAGACCACAGGAAGGTCAGTATCAAGGGGGACAGCACGGTGATTGGACTGTCCACGGACAAGGAGGGCCAGTTTTGTACCAAGGTTCAGCCAGGTGCACACGTGGTCAAGGTAAGTGACCAAAAGTGTCAGGAATCTTTGGTATTTAGGCTGACATTAGGTGTAAGACTTAGTGTAGTGTTTAGTTTGCCAAGGGGTGAGCAAAATTGGCTGAAATTCAGGAAATTGTATGGCTTATTTATTGCTGTTTATGTATTTGGTGATAGAATATTTGCTGAAGTAGGAAACATGTCCACATCATTCATATGTATTTATTTGTATTCACATCTTTTTCATATAATATATGAAACAAAATTTATCAGTTTACGAAAGTGTTTTTGATTTTTCAGAAATATCTTTAATGTTTTAAATTTTTGTAAAAGATGGAAACTATGCTCATTTGCATTACTTGTACTCAAGAAAAACTACTCATTCTGCTGTTAGTATGAAGACTACTTATTTTTGTGTAATTTAGACCCTGGTGAGCAAGGAGGAGGAAGAGGCAGGTCTAAAACTGACCCCAGCAGAGAGGATAGTCAAAGTAGTGGACAGGCCAGTGGACGACGTCACCTTTACGCAGTTCAGGGCCAAAATATCTGGCACAGTCACTTGCTTAGGTGATTTTAATGATGGAGTTTTAGGGACGGTTATGATTTTCTAGAATGATGTAGATAAAAAAACAGTTTTGAAAATAAGTTTTAGGTCTAATTATTGGCCGTAATCTAGTGCTTAGTAGATTTAATTATCATGGTGTTAGAATGATAAAGATTGTTATATACATATAGAATGACCATTTTTTAAAGGATTTTTCATTAGTCATAATTGGAGATTTAGGATAAGATAAAATGCAGTAAATGTCATGTATCCCATTTTACTTATGGCTTATTCCTCAACATGATTATCATATTGTTTTTTGTATTTCAGAGAAATGTAAGAACATTCACATCTCCCTTATTCCCATTGCCAGAGAAGATGATGGAATGGCAGCCAAGGTTAGTAACCAATCAGGTACCAGATAGCACATGGACTGCGGGATTGTTATTATTTTATCTACTGTTACAGCATCTCTTATTGCAGGTTTTAACTAGTCATCATTTTAGATTAAATTGCCTAACACTTTCTAAATAGTCTTATTTGAAATAAAGGTACCAATGTTAAAAAATAGCCCACTTATTTATGCAACTCTTGACACGTTAAAAACTGTTCACAAGTTTGTTGCATCTTTCACATTTTTCCAGTATTTGCCCACTTCATATTGTCCCAGCAAGCAAATGGATACTTCTAGGATATTAAGCAAGGTCATATCTTTCCGTAATATGTTTAAGATCTGTTAATACTTCATTCAAACTCATATTTTTAGATAAAAGAGGGAAGTAAAGGAGGCACGTTTACATTAGAGAATGTCCTTCCTGGGAAATACAAAGGTAAGCATGATGGGGAATTGGTTTCAACTCTCAATTTGTGTTTGATTTCTGGGATAGATTTTATATGGCCTGACAGCCACAGCCACCAATTTCACATTCTCTTTGTAAATGTATGATTTTTTTGCAACAAATGCATCTTTGTATTCATGTTAATGGTTATGCACATCCACAGCAGTAAAATCTACTAAGTGGTACACAAACATACAAACACTAAATTGTTCCACAACCCAACCATTTCTGATCGCATATTGCATATACTATGTTTAACTTATGAAGACTAAATATATGACTTGATGGAAAAAATATTTTTTCAGCCAACCTTCTGAATGACATCTGGTGCTGGAAGTCCAAGGTGTTGGATGTTGAAGTAACAGATAAAGACGTCATAGGAGTCGACTTCCAACAGACTGGATACGTGATTTCTGTGACCTCATCTCATGACCTTAAACTGGTACGTGTATCGTTGCTATGTATAAAGATTTGTATGTGGATGCTGTTGGTAAAGTTATGTATGTGGTTGCTTTGTATAAAGATGTGACTATATTTGGTTCAGGTGGTAGATCGAAGTGATTGAATTAACTTTTCATTTTGAATTTTCAAATACTTCTTTCAAAAAAAAAAAAATAAAATAAAAAATAAAATGTGATCCTGATTTGTTGTTTTTATTCAATTCTTTTCCTCAGTCGTTTCTATTTTATGTGTAAAGGAAAATTCCTTTAAAGTCAACCAACCTTCTGTTGTCAAAATTCTCATACCCATGCTTGATACCAGTTAGCAATTTTTTTCCACAAATTTATCAAGTTGAACCCCTATATGTGTTTTGATTTTCCAGGCTTATACTAACCAAGACAAAAAGCTGGATTATCGTGGCACATTTGATGATGTGGTGAAAGGTCTGAACAAGTTTTGTTTGGAAAAACCAGGTCTATACAAACTGAAGCCAGAGTCGTGTCACCGCTTTGACAAGGAAGAATACAGCTTTGATACGTATGTAGCATTATTATTTAACAAAATAAGACAATTCATACAATTTGAATTAACACTTCAAATAGCACACACACACTCGCTGTTAAGTGTCCTTGTAATGGAATTTTTCAGCTTACTTAAAGTTAAGTTTGGTAGATCAGTAACTGAAAACTGGATGATTCATTGGTTATGATATGTTTACACTTTTGTATTTATTAAGTTGAGAAGAATAATTTGTGTAATAGTATTTTGTCTTGAGAATGTATTTTAATACACTTAAAAGTGACCAAAGAAATAAGCCCAGGGACCATCTTTCAAAATGTTAGTTTTACATTGTTGTAAACATGGACTGAAAGGTTGCTGATAGGTTGTGTATTTGTTTCTTCCAGGGGGAAGCCAATCCCACTCACACTGACTGCAACAAGCCATAGAATTGATGGGTCTATCAAAACAGATATACGCATAAGAGATATAATGCTGTCTATCAAGTAAGCAACATTTTTATTTATTAATTTTCATTTTACTGCTTTTTTTCTTCCACTTTTTTTCTACACTTGAAATTAACCATTTGGAATTGAAGTGAGAAACCCAATTGGTATATTCAAGGTTAGGTGACAAGTTTTCAGTGCATTTTTATGTTGAAGATGCCTTGAAACAAAAAATTTGACTGGACTTTATGAGCAAAGTCTACATTGTATATTTCATTAATAGTCTGGAGATTAAATTTGGTCTCATGCTTAGTGTTCCACATCCTCCCTGTTGGATTCACCTTAAATTGTGATTTTTAATCAGATGGGAGCCATATTCATATTTGGCTTAGTAAAATGCAAAATATTTTACTTCTTTGGGTATGATATTTATCATTGGATTAGATGAGATATTTTATTTGGATAAAATTATCCAGGCTAAATTTTTTAAATGAGTCTTAACCTGGTACTGTGCTTGTGATTGTTTCAGAACTGTTAATAAAGATGGTACAAAGGAAGAGACACGGGGACCATTAAGAGGAAGCAAGGATAATATTAAGATGGATGACCAGTTTATGGTGGGACCTATGTTTTATGACTGGGACCACTGGGCCAAGTAAGTAACTGTGTGTGTGTGTGTGTGTGTGTGTTTTGCCTGCATGTGTATGAATGCGCAGACTTTTTTGCACGTACATGGACCATCAATCCAGTAGGACACATACGTCCTGGCGCAAGAAAACGACGTTATATCACTCCGCATCGACAGTATGTGTCCTACTGAATCATGCTGTATACTTATGCCTTTCTGTATATGATACTGCCTTTTAATGGGTGTATGTGGGTAGTGACCCTAATAGTACTAATGTGTTTGTACACTGCTACATTATTGAGAAAAAGGTCATTTGTTGTTGTAAGTATTGTGTTCTATTTACTTAATCTGGATATTCCAGGACAGGGGATACAGTGGTGTTCCAGCCGTCGTCCAAACATATCTTGTTTTACCCACAGAAAGCAGACATTGTGGTACAGGGAGGTGGGTAGACAGAGATTGTGCTTCCTTCGCGGAAACAAGCTTGAATTAAAACAGTTTGAAATGATTATTCAGACATGTTCTGAATCGTTTAACTGTATCTGATGGCAATGAATTTTCTGGTTATCTAGTAAAAAGAACTGTCACTTACTTCAGCATAATGATATTGAGCATTTAACTATTCAGTCACTCAGTACTTGATGTTTTGCTTAAAAAATTACAAATTTTTACAGAAATTTAGAATTTGACTCTTCAGACAGCTGTTTACCTTCCTTGTTATTAAACCCTTTGCATTCAAAGGAATACTTTTTGTATTTGTTATACAGATTCCTGCCCTATATCTGTGAAGTTTGATGGCAAGGAAGGCGTATTTATCGAGGGGTTGGTGAGAGAGAAGTCAGGAGGACAGGATGGTTTAGGAGGAGTCATGATCACTATTACGCCCAAGAACAACAAGAATGTTAAAGTCTCCATCTTGACTTTTAATGATGGGTCTTTTGAGTGAGTTAATGCTGATACTCTTTTTTTTTTTCATAACTGGAAATCAATAAAGTCTAAAACAAAACCTGTCTCTTTTCATTTGAGTCACTAGTCTGGCTTCAGAGTTCTGGATAAGCTGTTATAGTAGTTACTTTATCTGGTTATTGTACAAGCCAGTAAACATGATAATTTTTACAGAAATCCAATTTTGACAACAAAAAAGCTAAACTCGTTTTGTTGATATTATAGGCTCTGAATATTTTTCATTGCTGCTGCTATATATTGTTGCAGACATGGTCCCTTTCATGGTAACACAGAGTATGTGGTAGAACCCAGCATGGAAGGTTATATATTTGAGGAGGTCCACGAGATGCTGCCGTATCACTGGTTTGCCATTAAGCTAGGCAAGGTCACAGTAAAGGTAACACTTCCCCAGGGGCCTGCTTTGATTCTTTTCACAGCCAGAACAATATAATGTGCTTTTTCAGGTGAAATCTCTGTCATGTTATTATTATTATAAGTAAAAATTATTTTATCAAGTTGAAAATCCTGATAGGCAATTCTCTTGTTAAATAGTTCAAATATGAATGACTTTTTAACTTTGTTACTTCTAAAAAATTGACATATTAAGTTCTTGACATATTTCTCTCCAGGTTGTCGGAGAGAAGGACGAGCCCCTCAATGGCGTCCTCCTGTCGTTAAGTGGAGGTGACTTCCGCAGTAACAATCTCACTGTGGAGAATGGCACCATGGTCTTCAGTAACCTGGTGAGTTTTCTTAGTAATTGATATGCCCCAAAGTCAGCTAGGTAGTGGTGATATTTACAAGTGGGCAGAATAGTGGATTTCACTAAAACACTTTCCTGTTGAGTGGTGTATCGGGCTTGTACTGTGGTTGAATTTGAGAGAAAAAAAAGATCCAGGTAGAGAGCAACTTGCATTCATGTCAGTTTATGTGGTCCGTTGGAGTACAGCTTCTGGTTCCTCTGTTTCCAATGATTGCCCTGGAATTAGTACCGCTGTCATAGCATCTATATTGGTGACTTGTATTTCTTAAGTGGACTGTGAATTAACAACCTATCTATCTAAGGGCTCTTATATTGTATAACATGAGAGACCAGTCTGAGATGTGGATTGTGAGAATGAGGCATTTACCAGGTTTAATGACTTCTTAGTTGAAATGATCACAGTTTACTCTGAAGGAAATAAAATAAAAAAGAGGATTCTTAGATGATATGTTTATTTTTTATTTCAGCACCCAGGTCAGTTTTTTCTCCGTCCAATTATGAAGGAATATAAATTTGAGCCGGCGTCCCAAATGATAGAAGTAAGAGAAGGAAGTGATGTTAAGATCAACATTAAGGGCTTCAGAGTAGCATTTAGGTAGGTTGTAACTTGTAGGAGTAAGCGCTTGTTTATGTTTCTGGCCGTCTCTGTCTGTCTGTCAGATTCCATGTCCTAAACATTGCTCCGAGTATAAAATTTCAGAATGTATATCTTTACATATGCCATATGATTGATATGACAAGATTTAATCTGAGAGTCCATTGGTTTCTTAATTTTAAAAGCCCCCACTGCAGATAAGAGCATAGACGTGATTGTGTCAAGCTACTGTTTTGTTGTATATAAAGCGTTCCCTAACTGGAAATGAAGAAACCAAGGTAAATATTACACGTGATTTATTTATTGTAAATTTTAGTTGCTATGGGTCTGTGACGTCGCTGAATGGAGAACCTGAACTGTCCATCTTGGTGGAGGCCGTGAGTCTGGACGACTGTGCCAGCCACCAAGAAGAGTCCAAGACTGAGGCAGATGGAAGCTACAGGATACGGGGACTGCAGGTGATTATTTTTTGGTTTATTTTCATTTATGTTTGGTTTACCAAGGATTTTGATTTGTGGAGTCCCAAGTTCATTTTATTATTAAGACCTTGTGTTTCAATTAGGATAAAAATCTTTTTAAAAAATGACTCAATTAAAATTGTGTAGTTAGTAAATGACAGTTGTGCATGTTTTTCTTTCCTTTTTTTTCTGTGTATGCACATGCTAATAACATCACTTGACAGACAAGTAAAACTGAATAAAGTGGGAGAGGGGGGAGGGTAGACATACTATTTTATATAAAAATATTTTTTTACTTTTATTTTATATTATTTTGTCTAAAAAGAAATCTGTCTGTAATTTATGTCACTTTAAATGATAATCAATTAATTATTAATTGCTAATGATAATTGATAAAAAATCTAAGTATGACTATTTCAGCCTAAATGTAGCTACAAGCTCCAGCTAAGAGATGACCCTGCTAACCAGCACATCTCCAGAGCAGAGCCTAGGGATAAAATAATAAAGGTAAAACTATAATAATAATAATAATAATAATTGTATTGGTCAGATGTATTGTGCTGGGCTGTCATACCTTACACACTGTGGTATTTATTTTATTTATTTAATATATTTTGTTAAACTTAATTCTGTAAGGATAAAAACATGGTTAACTTCATATCTTAAAAATGTAATTCTCCCCATGATCTTCATGAGAAAGTTCCTAAATACTGTGTTAAAATCCACCAAAATTAAGTGTTTACAGATTACCTGTGGTTGGTTTTACAAATGAACTTAAGGCCAAGAGTTAGTTTAAAGTTTTAGGCGTTGGTCAACTTATGTCCAGTATAGGTGTGTAGTAACTCCCTGACAGATAAAATAGCCTTTAGTCTTAAAATAATAGTCTTACTAAATCATCAGTCATCTATCTATTCTTGTGAATGTGAAAAGTCATAGCTGGCTACAGAAAGAAAGAACTTGGCTCGTTGGAATGGATTTTAAAGCCATGATTGGAACCATGTTTGATAAAATGTCATGAATTACAATTATTATCGATGTATTTCAGGTGGAGGACAGCGATTTAAATAATGTTAACATAATCGCATTCCGTCGTTTGAACCAGATGGACATCAGTGGCAATATTAAGACATCTAAAGAGCATTTATCTAGTCTAAAGGTAATATTTACATCATATTGAAAGCTCCTCTTATTGAAAGCTGCACTATTAATCTGATTAGTGTTGTTTGTTCAGAAGACCTATTTGGTAGATAGATGAACTTTGTCAAAGATCAGTATATGTTGACGTTTATCCTTCTTGTCAATGATGTTGACCTTTCTTAATTGTGAGTAGCATTTTTGACACTGGATAAGTGTTTGTTCAGCCATTGAGTAGCAAGTGTATTTGCTGTCATGAATTTATCATGGAAACATTTTCACTGCCACAATACATTGCTGGTATGTAAGTTTATTTCTTTATCAACGGATCCAGGATTTTGTTGAAAAGGAGTATGTAGTGGGTGGAGAAACATTGCGTAATTATTGTAAATGATTTAAAATAAAGCTCTTCATTTCAGGTGAAATTGTTCAAAGAAGACAATCCAGACTCTCCAATTGGAATAGTCAACTTAGGAACTTCAGTATTTTTCTATCTTCCTTCAGTAACTATAGATAAAGAGGTAAGTCAGGGGGATGGGACTTGATTTTGAGTCTCCAGGATTTTTTACAGGACAAACATTTAATAAATTATTTGTCTATAGCCATTGGACTTGTTGAATTCTCAGGACCATCATTTCCTTGGTCTTTCAGTTTTAGACTAATGATTGATCTTTATATATGTAAAATCTTTATATTTTTTTAAACTGCTCATGTACAAATTGGGACCAGAATGAGGCCTGGGGTCATTTCAAGATAACAAGATAATTTGTTAATTTTGCTGCTAATAAGGAAGCCAAGATGTTTTGCTTTATAACAACTCTTTCTGTTGTCCCCTATGATAATTCTGTTTCCCATGTCAATTCTGTTACTGCATTAATTTGTTTTCTCATGATTTATTTTATCTTTTTGATTTAGACTGCATATGTGATACGACTAGAGTCCACATTAGCTAGATCCATGTACGAGTACACCCTCCCAGAGGTCAAGTTCTATGCAGACAGTAGCTACAGGCATTTCACATTTGAATTTAATCCCAAGGTAAGTAGGCCACTTTACAGTTGACTTGAATTCTTAAATCTCTAAAGACAATTCACATTTGACTTAAATGATAAAAGAACAAACTTGTGAAGCATTTGACACTGGAGTTAAATCCTCAGAAGGACAGGCATTTCCCATTCGACTTGGACTGAGTTTCCATACACGGATTGAACAGGATCAATCCATCTCCAAAGGGTTTCTCGCTAAATCGCTTTCAGTTTAAGCAGCTTAGATGACTGGCACACCTACTAAAGTTGCTAAATGATAATAAGTTACCCCCTAGCAGCTTCACTAGGCATGACAGACATCTGAGCCACTTAAGTTGATTGCAATTAAGCGAGAATCTCCTTGGAGATAGATTGATCTACAGTTTTAAAATAGGATAGGGTCTGGGAATGGTCCATAAAATATTGGCGCAGACCCAAACAGCACATTATATAAGAGACACCAGGTTCAGTGATCATTTTACCGTTTGGCTGTATCACTTTGGCGCTGATCTCTGAAAATTTACCTTTCAAATTATTTTAATTAATTTTTTATGAATTTATAATTGAAAGTGGTATCAAACATCCAAGTGTTTTTTCTTTAACTTATTGAACATACAGGGTTTTTAGTTAGTGAATAATTTAAAATTTGTCAAAACAAATGTTTAACAGAAGTCATAATATTTTCTTTTCAGAGAAAGAGTCTAGAACAGGAACTTAACCAGGGCTCTTTTCTTATTCTGCCTTTAATAATTCTGGTGGCAACTTTGGCCTACTTTAGACAACAGGTAAATCAAATGTGATTTTACCCAATTTAAGAGTCACTAGAATCAAACATTGTTAAGGTATATCAAACAAGGATGGTCCCAGTTTTATTAAAAGAATATTGCAAGTTTAACAATGTTGTAAACTTAATAGAAATATTGCAAAGGTAACAATGTTGTCAACTTAACAGTAGTGCATATTTACAGAGATGAGAATCATAGGGACAATATCCTAAAACTGGCACTTTACACAATAGGAAAATTAAACAATTTCACTTTATTTTAAGAGGAATGTATTGAAGCTAATTGAAAGCATGCACCTCTTTTAAAAGAAATACTATTGCAATTATTATACTGTTCAAAGCACCAGTCCTGGGATAATGTGAAAACTATGATAATGAATAGGTAATAGTTCCAGGACTAAAATTTTTCTCTTTTGTATGCGACTAATCTTGTAACTAGTATATGCACGGAAAATATATAGCGCCAACAATATCTGGTAACACTTAGGCTGCGTTCACATGAAAAATATATTTTCTAAAAATCTAATTACAGTTAAAATTACAATTGAAAGAAATTGCTAGAGCTGTCATTTTCCATAAGTTGATTGATGTTACAATTCTTGATTTTGTAAGTGTTCAGATACAATGCCATCACAGTTTTTATGTTAACTTAATAAGTTTCTAGGTAAGTTTCCAAATAAGTTTCTAAGTAGTCCCATAATAAGATGAGTATTTTCTTTCAGTTAATACCCTTAGCACAACAAGGCATTCAGTCACTACAGATGTCGGTACAAAAAGGGGGCAGCACTGGTGGTAATGGTGTTGGTGCAGGAGGAGATGCTGGGTCCATAGATCTTATAACGCGAAAGAAACAGAAGGCACGGAAAATAAATTGACATATTCAATATAACATTGAATCAGAATGAGACGTGGTGTATTGATGTGATGTTCTTTTTTATGTAAATGTATAAACCATGATGTAAATAGATTTGTTCTCAAGATGTTAATGTTACTTGTTCTAGGATAAATAAGAGAAAATAAAAAATTTTAGACCTCTGAACATTTTGATTATCAATAAAATTTTATAATACAATATTTGAATGAGATTGCTATTCAAATAATACCAAATGGATTTTTGTCTTTGGTTTGGTATGTAGACATGTAATCGTATTCAGTTTTCCAGAGTTGCATCTTGTAAGTGTCATATTCTTGGGTCAGTAACCCATTCCAGAAAACTAGTTGCGGCTGTGTGAAAAAAAAAATCACAAAAACAGTTCAGGGGATGTTCCAGTACTAATAAATTAATGTTTCTATTCTTCTTCCTACAGTTTCTAACTAAACTGCAGTTTACTTTAAAGTACTGTCTTATTATATTGATCATGGATTTTTAATCTCTGTTCTTGTATTGGAATACAAATCTGTAACTTTTTGTATATACATCCACCACTGTGAGACAAGAATAAAAATGTAAAAATTTACAAAATAATTTGAAATTCAGTGATGTTTCCTCAGTCATGACCACGCTTGGCTGTCACCTTGATTGGACAGTAAACAAATGTCGTAAAATAGCTAAATAATATTAAAACCGGGTGCATAAACTTGAAAACCACCTAGGACAACCTTGGACTGCCACATTAATCCAATACAGTAAAAGCCTTCAAACCGAATGTCGTAAAGTCCCCATATACCTTCATAGAGACAATAAAATAGAGTAAGCTTGTGAAACAAGATTCCACAATTTTAAACATAATAATCGAAATGAAATACTGCCGGGCATCAGAGCGGCCTAAAACTTGGCACTGGCACGCTTACCGCAAATACTGCAGGCTACATCATCCCGTCACTCGTTTGTAAATTCCGTGCATGGCATACGCACAATCAAACCGTAAATCCAAATTGCTGCTTTGACGCTTGAGTCAGTCCTCTCCACAATCCAATTCAGGAAATGACGTAACCGCAGAGGTCGCATTGTCCAATGGCATGGCCGACTCAAGCGTCAAAGCCAAGTTTTAGGCCGCTCCGGTGCCCGGCAGTATTTTATTTCGATTATTATGTTTAAAATTGTGGAATCTTGTTTCACAAGCTTACTCTATTTTATTGTCTCTATGGAGGTATATGGGGACTTTACGACATTCGGTTTGAAGGCTTTAACTACTTGTTATAGTTTATTTTTGCATTGTATCGGATTAATGTGGCAGTCCAAGGTTGTCCTAGGTGGTTTTCAAGTTTATGCACCTGGTTTTAATACCATTTAGCGATTTTACGACAATCGTTTACTATCCAATCAAGGTGACAGCCAAGCATGGTCATGACTAGCTAAAGATAGTTTTCTCTCTGATAAAAGTTGTACATTTAAATTGTTATATGTAAACAAAATACTGTAAAATATATCTATAATTTATAAGAGGATTTGAATGTGTAAAATTGGAAATAAAAAAAAACTTTGGCATTTTTTGAGCACATTTCAGTATAAAATGGCTATATACAGTAATGAATTGAGCTCCACTTAGTGAGCATTACAGAGAGATGTAATGATTGCAATCTTACTGAATACGTCAATTTAATTCATGATCTAAACAAACCGAATTTTAGCTAGACTTTCTCTATTTTCTTTGAATATTAAAGGGATAATATCTCTTCGTATGAAATCTGTATTTCACAATAAAAACATTGTGAGTGACTCATAAAAATATAATATATTCTGTTTTCCCACAAAAACGGCTGTTATAGCTATTATTCTGATATCTGAGCTTGTCTTTTGACCACGTGACCTCCATTGATGGCTATACTATGTTAAAATCTCTTAAGAGATTTTAACAAAAAACCAAACTTTTTAGAAAAAAACCAGGGACTAACTTTGAATGTAAAAATGGATTCATTAACCATTGGTAAGTATGGGAAAATTGTTGTTTACTCCAGGAAAATTCCTTTTTTGGCCGAAACGAAGAGTTATTATCACTTTAAGCTTTATACTTTCTGATCTGCCTTGTTATTGTCGTTTGTCTGAGCCTCAGGGGTCAAAGGTCAGTGACCTGATAATAATGGTGAGGATTCCATAAGAGGCAGTTCCTCAGATTTGAACATATGGCAGAGACGGATAGACCTCCCCCAAGACCAGTACCTTTACAGACTATTCTGCAGATGATTTACCAACAGCCAAAGGGACAAAGTGTAGGATTTTAAACTTGCATTAAGTACATAAATCATTTCTTGTTGGATGTTATCTGAAGACAAAACTTGGCATTTTTATTTTGGTCAAAAAAAAAAAAAAAAAAAAGCTATATACAGCATTTGACTTGAGCTCCACCTCATAAGCACGACAGAGAGATGTAATAATTACAATCTTACGAAATATGTCAAATTAATCCCCCATCTATACAAACACAACATTTTGTCTAGACCTTGTCTATTTTCTTTGAATTTTAAGCTTAATACTTTCTAATCTGCCTTGTTATTGTCATCATTTTTTTGAGACTCGGGGTCAAAGGTCAGTGACCTGATAATAATGGTGAGGATTTCATAAAAGGCAGTTCCACAGATTTTAACACATGGCAGAGACAGACAGACCTCCCCCAAGACCAGCACCTTTACAAACTATTCTGCAGACAAATTTTCCATAGCCAAAGTGACAAAGTGTAGGATTTTAAACCTGCATTAAGTACATAAATCATTTTTGTTGAATGTTATCTGAAGACAAGTAAGACTTTTATCATTTTATAACAGGTAAATGCCACTAATAAATCTCACAATAAAATTAATCAAATGTAACTCCTCACCTTTCAACCAACTTGACACTGACAGTTAAAATTGAACAGAATCCAAAGGTCAGTGCAAGAATTGAGCAAAATGAACGGTAGAATTTGAATAAAAAATTGTCCAGAATATTTTTTTGCAGAAAAATTCTACACTTTGTACCTGATATTCGTAACACTATTTGCAAATGCTATCCAATAACACTTCATTTAAATTGACTTGTGACAGAGTTCTGCTTCTATGATATGCCATTACACAAATTTCCATGTGATACAACTCGCACTTAGCAATGATAATACAGCAGTCATGACATGGAACAGAAATCCTCACTACTAATTCTTACTTTGGCTGCCACGCTTGTTAAACATTATCAGACACGGAGAAATTTTACCAGATCTAAACAAGGATTTCTGAGTAAATTACAGAAGCTGTTTTGAAACAGAGAAATGTTACCGAGATGGTCAGAACCAGGTGGGGGTGACTGTAGCCTCCAGAGATTTATTTCTTCGTTATCTTACTAGATTCTTCTTCCTCACTGTCACTCAATGTCTCCTCGTTGTGGGTTCTTTTTCACTGGCCATCAGTTGAGACCTTGTCGTCATCTTGCACTTGGTCTGCACCGCCAGCGGCACATTCATCACCACCTCCTGCCTCCTCCTCCACGCTACATCTCTGAACAATGTCCTGGTCTGAGACCTGGTCCTGTACAAAAATTAAAATGGTATGAAAGCCAAACTCTTGCCACAAATAACTTTGGAATCTTAACATCAACCTCAGTTAGGTTCTGCACAAATCTTTCATCGAGTGTGAAATCCTACATATTAAATGGTAAAACTTAATAACGCAGGACACACTGAAATTTCATCTTTTTTTAAATTTTGGATCCCTAAGACTATACTTGGTTACCTTAGCAGCCCTGTAACTGGCAGCAGCTGGATTTCCCGTGGAACTGCCTGTACCACCAGCAGCCATATTTCCCGTGGAACTGCCTGTACCACCAGCAGCCATATTTCCCGTGGAACTGCCTGTACCACCAGCAGCCATATTTCCCGTGGAACTGCCTGTACCACCAGCAGACAGATTTCCCGTGGAACCGCCTGTACCCCAAGCAGCCAGATTTTCCATCCAATCGCCTGTACCACCAGCAGACAGATCTTCGACTTGCTCTTGTCGATCTGACAGATAAACCAAGAGCAAATAAAAATACTGTCACATATGAAGAGAGGGAGCAAAAAGTGTACTTCCATTATTTCCATCTGCCTCTCTGGTGATCTTTGAGGGAAACAGCAGTGTTTTCTTGTTTGAATTTTCTAAACAAGAAAGGATCTTCAATTTGAACCCGACATCCCTTAAAAAAATATAGTTTCCATAATTTGACCCCTGACTTCGGTAAAAAATTAATTGTGGAATCACCTGCACGCATAAATAAACAATTTATCAACATTTTAATACCTCGATGGAGACTAACAGCCATCAAGAAAATAATTATAAACACACAAAATTTTCTATCTATTCCTGCATGTTGCTGGGACCGACCCTAACCGTTGAAATCTAGAAAAATGTTCTTGAAGTGGATGGATTGTATTTCAGTATACTGACACTGAATGAAATGTACTGCAACAGGAGGAGGGTGGTTCAAATAAATAGGGCAAGTCATGTGACACGTGTGAACACATCTCCCTGTACACGTTACTCTGACCTACATGTAACACGTATTGCAGTTACAATACACTTGCCATGTCTGTTAAAATTTGATATGATCTACCACTAGTCAGTATTTAGACAAGGCCCTCACAAAAAAGGTACCATGTCACCATTATCATGATAATAATAATCACACATTTACAGAAATTGTATGTCCAGAAATAGCTTTAAAATATTGTTTATAACAAAAGTTAACATCATGTTGCACAACACCTACCATGTTCATTGGCTTTCACTTGAGGTCGAGACAGGGCGTCAGAGTGGTGCATTCTTACTGTACCACCTGACGCCTGGCCTGACATCTGACAGGCTAATTTGGCTCTGCTGTCTGTTGTAATTGCTGGCCATGGATGTGTCACCAGTCCTGACATTGTGCCTGGGAACTCTTCAATAGTCTCTGTTGTAGCTCTTATCAGTAAATTCTGGATAATTTCTTGTACTACCTGTTGAGCTTCATCACCAGTGGAGGCTGAGGAGGGGGTTTCCACAGGCAACACATCATTTTCTTCCGAGTTCACTTCAGATTCCTGATCATCCTGCCTACTTGGGTAGACTTGTTCATATAGGGGCTTTAGTTCTTTTTCTGTTTGGACACCTACACGTCTAGGTGAAGCAGCCATAGCACATTCCACACCCGAACCACTGCCAGGCAAGTCTTGCTCTGTAGCACTGTCAGTTTCAGATTGACAACACTCTACCGGTTCTTCTACTTCAACTGTTTGAATAGGTGAAGCAGCCATGTCACATTCCACACCAGTGACACTGACAGGTAAGTCTCGCTCTGTACAACTAGTAGTCTCAGACTGACAACACTCTATCGGTTCTTCTGCTTCCATTGTTTGAATTGGTGAACTGTCCACTGACTGCTGGGCAGGGTTCCAGGCAGTTTCTTGTTGTCCACCTTTTACAACAGAACCAGTTTCTTGTTGACCACGTTTCGTAATGGATTCATTGCCTGTTTCTTGAATGGCCCCATCTCCTACAGGAATTTTGCAGGAGGTTTCATCATAATTATCATTTCTAACATCTCCATTTATCTGTGACTGGACCAAGCCTTGCTGATCAATTGCTGTAATGGCACTAACTTCAGCACGTGTTTCTGTCCCTCCTTCCTCCCAAATTCTGAATATTGGAATATTTGGCATTTTTATCCAGTTATTCATCTCAGACTCATAAATCACACTTCGCAGGTTAATTATATTCAAGGGGAGTTTAAAAGCTGATACTATTTTGAAAAAAATTGAGTATTTTATCTGTTTGTTGAAAATTGGCAATTAATATCTTGCACAAATGAACTACATATTTACTAAATCATTTTTTTATCACTTATCCCACTCTCAGTTAACACTCTACAAGACCCACAACTCACAAAAACATAGCCTGGGAAAAAATTAAACATACCCTTCATTACTGGCATCATCAATTGGCACAGTGTTTGGGTCTCCAGCTGGTGGATTATCAAGGTGGGTTGCAGCTAAACACAAATATTTTGGGATTAATAAGGGCAGTCAGTCACTGCAACAAGGTTATCAGATTTTTGTTTAAGGAGTTACTGGAGTAAAAAAATTAAATTAAATTAATTTAAATTAAATTAAACAATGAAAAGTAGTTTTGGTAATCAAAGAAATGTTTCTATTCTAAAGTACAGTGAGACATTGGCTCCAAGGTTGTCTTTGCTGCCCAACAGAGTAAAACAAACCACTTGAATCCTCACCTGAAGGAGAGACAGCACCAGTTTCTTGTTGCCCAGTTTTTACAATAGTGAAGAAAGAGCCACTTGATTCATCACCTGTTGCTTGCCTGATCACACCTCCTTCAGTACATTTGTAGAAGGTTTCTTCATTTTCTTCATATTCTGCTCTATCCTCTGGTGACCTGAATGAGATACATTTATAATCTTGATTATTACAGCGTCTCCATCAGCCAGGACATGCCAAGTAATCTCATCATTCACAGCTGTGTGCCACATGGATCTAAACATTTCTGTACCTTTCACCGGGGCCGTAGCGATAGTCCGAAGGTTCAATAGTCCGAAGGTCTATGAATTAGAATTCGGACCAATGAACCCTTGATTAAAAAATCGATAAAAATGTTACCACTTTTCGGACCAATGAACCTTCGGATCAATGAACCTTCGGACTATCGAGACGCCCCCCCTTTCACCCACTGAGGATACATATCTGCAGGCTGAATTTACTTTGGGAGTTAAAAAAATTTCTGATAAATAATCTATGTACAGACCAGGCGGAGCAGGCCAATATTGTACATGTAGTGAAGATAGTACTTGACTGGTAACTGTCTTCTTCACAACAAAGGACTAACAGATCCATGAATCAAATATGGCGGCCCACTTTAAAGCTTGCTACATAATGACCCTAACAGACAATTAATAGATTCCCTGCAGGTATTATGCCAAAAGCATTTTAGCAGGTCAACTTTATTTGATTTGCAGATCTGTTGGTCCACTGTTTGGAATGCGATCTAAAACTGAATGATATATCACAAATACATTCACAAATAATATATATAATAAAATGGAATTATAGTCTGACATGTTCTTGATATCCTATTCCTCTATCTACATGTATACACTTAGAAATTATTGTCTTCACATGGAAAAGTTTGTTTTTTTTTACCTGTCAGTCTCATTATGCCGTTGAGCAATTCTGACAAATTCATCTTCAGGATTAGGATCAGAACTTGGATTCACACTGATGAAAGAGTCCCCTCCTGGGCGTTGCTGTGGCGGACTAGAGACACTGAAAAAATCAAGAAAGTGCAGTAAATGCAACTGATATTCCAAAACATTTAAAATTGCATTCTAATTCATAAGGGAGTTTTATTGATCATCTTTCCAAATCTTTAAACACACTTATGACTCTAAGGTGATGCTATCATGACTAAGAATAATTACATCTCTATAAGCCAGCAGTCCTAGTAAACCAAAAAGACCTTGTGATAAGGATGCAACGCTTACTTCATTATAACTGTGTAAGACCGGAGAAAACAAGGCAGCAAAGCTGGTAAATGGTCAGAAATATTAAGGACAAAATTGACAGAAGCAGTGACATTATGTCTAAAATAATAGAGAACCAATTTAACACAGTGCACAAAATTTTGTATTTACTGTCACTTTTAATGCAATGCTTTTAGGACCTTAAACACCACCCATTCAAAATAAATATGAAATACTGTTACTGTGGGAATGCAGAAAAAATATAAATATCACTGCTTCCACCCCAGGGGAATTCAAAGGAACACCTGGAAACTGCCAATATGTGGAAAAAAAAAAAAAAAAAAAAAAAAAAAACGCTTCTAGAGAAATTATCTAATCTTTTTAGTTTTTAGACTGCATCAGCTGCTGTGTTTTAGTTCTGTAAATCATTCCTGCACCTTTCTGAATAATAGGTAGCACAGTAATAAAAATAAAAACTTGAAGTTTATAATCATGCATTATTTTCTCAAAGGGTTAGTGTAACTTATATAACTGTGAGGAATGAACATAACTTCTGGGAAGGACAGATGGTTAAAATGTTAGGCATTATGAACAATACATTCACTAAATCATAAATAAAATTAAGTTAAGGACATAAAAAGTATAAGAAATTTATCAAATACCACTACTGATTAATTAATTAAAAATAAAAACTCAAATTATAGTTATCTTAGAAGCAGTGGGGTGTTGGTTTTGGTTTGGAATTAAAAAAAAAATGGTTTGAAACATGCCAGAACAGTCAACTATACCAGGAGATATTATGGTGAGGCAAAGCAGGAGTCACATTTTCCCCATTACATATGGTGCAATTGTGCTCCTTCACCTATCTGTGTCCAGGAAAATTAAACATGTAAGGTTTTAAGTGTTATGTGAAAAGGAATTACCTATAGTTATTACCTATAGTAAATAACTCAATGTCTGAAAAAAATTATAAAAAAGGCAATGAGGCCCTTTCTTCCCGCAACACAACCTTTTCATTTGATATGGATAGTAATTTTTATTACAAATATCATAATTATTATTACTATCTCCTATAATACTTGTTTTTTGCATCAACAAAATGGATTTACTTTTGACTGTTATTCTCTTTCGGGTCCTATTATATGCATTCATACTTTTTGCACATCACCTCACCAAAAAAAGGGCATAGCCGTAAATACTAAACATAATGTGCATAACACTTCTGGTTTACTGTTACAGTAATTATTTATAACAACAAATTTGTCTTTCTAGCCTTAATATTTTGACAGAATTGCTTACTTTTTGCAATACTGAAAGTGAACATCACTTATTCCACTCCCACCATTCCCTTAAACAATGAATACAACCCCCAGCTCACAAAGCACATGCTGGTAATGTACCTTTCACTTCTGTTAGAATCCTGCTGTTCGTCTTCATCAAGCCATGGATTCGCTTTTGCAACCGTGTAAGCATCTTCACACACATTGCTTTCATGAACTCCTACTTGATCATCACCTTTATCTAGTAATTTAAAAGAATAAACACACGCATGACAAGTTTATGATTAATGATGATAAAACCCAGTTGCTGGTCAATACTGAGCCACACTCAGTATCAGAATTAGAGCTGGTATGGTGCAAGAGACTCTAGTGCCAAAATCTTGCTGTTTACCTTTATTCTACTTTATCAGTTAATAGACAAATTTCAGACATTTTTCAGTCATGCACGTTTTATTTATGAAATAAAGCATCTTTAAAGCATCATTTGAGTTAGTGCACCACTGCTTTAGTTATCAATGCTCTTGTCACCTCCAGACTGTAAAAATTCAATTGTATATAACTCTAAATAAATGAAAACGCAGGGATAACATTTCAGTATATCCCTAACATCTTTTACAGACAATTGCCTCCTAATTGCTTTACTAATTCGCAGTCCTAGTTTACCTTGCTTTGATTTAGATAGCTCATCTGTCATGCTGTCTTCATTACTTGTGTCATCTGCTGATGGTCCATCATGAAGACTATTTGCAGCTGGACAGAAATAACTTGGAATTAGTAGCAGTCGTAAACTCAAACAAAATTAAGAAATGTTTAAGACTTTAAGGAGCAACAGTGAAAGCAATTATATTGCTTTCTGAAGAAAAAAAATCAATGAAAAGTGGTTTTGTTTTATTATTTTCTTAATAAATACTTTTAGACGGAAATTTTAGTCCATTTTGAGCAAAATAAAATGGTGATTCCAAATAAAATAATACAGTAAATTACTTATATGAAATTACAGTTATGTACAAATTTACCTTGCTCTGATTCAGAGTTTAAAGCACCAGATAATGTGGCAGTCTCATTGTCTTCACTATTTACACTTGGACTAATATCTGTCGGTCTTTCATTGGAGTACCCTGCAACATTTTGGGGTCTTTCACTGGAGTCTCCTGCAACATCTTGCAGTCTTTCATCAGAGTCTCCTGCAACATCTCGCGGCCTTTCATCAGAGTCTCCTGCAACATCTTGGGGCTTTTCATCAGAGTCTCCTGCAACATCTTGCGGTCTTTCATTGGAGTACCCTGCAACATGTAAAATGAATATTAATTATCATTTTACTACACAAGAAATGCCCCAGATAAAATAATGTAGCAGGGTATTTTTTAAGAAATCAGAGAGAATTCCCTGATGAAAATGCTCTAGACAGACATCAAAATATTAGTTGTAAACAATTTCAATATTTGCAGTAAACTGAAGAAGAATAATACTACTTAATTAGCAAAACAAAACAAGAATACAATTCTAGTATTAGGGCTGCAGTTTAAATATATATCTGCACAGACATCTTACCCCCTCCCTGTCTAGATGGGGACGTAGCAGTAGTCCGAAGATTCAATAGTCTGAAGGTTCATTGGTACGAATGTTCACTATATACCCTTCAGACCAATGAACCCTTGATTAAAAAACAGATGAAAATGTTACCATTTTTCAAACCAATGAAACTTAGGACCAATGAACCTTTGGACTATCGAGGCTCCACATCTAGACATGCACATTATTTACACACTGTACCTGTGCACAATCTTAATACTACCAAAAAATGTCAGACTGGATTCTATTACAACTCCAAAAACTATGTTTTCCAGAAAATCCTGGGGTTCAATAAGGAAATAACCAACCTTATAATCTGGTTTAGTTCATGGAGAAATTAATATGGTTTAAGGCATGGAGATATTATGTACAAATCTCCATTGTTCTAAATGGGGCCTGACAAAAATGGCAGTCCAAGGAATTAAAATCTGGGGTCCCACGTTAGAAAGAAGCACCTGGGTTAGTGCACAGGACAAATGACACCTGTAGTAATGAGACATGGACTTTACGTCTGTCACAATAATATATGACCAAATGGACATAAAAGGAAAATAGAGATATTTCTTAAGGCCAGACTGGTGCGAATATTACTGCTGTGAAGCAGATCTTTTTCTAATGCTTAAGTTTACTGTTATCATTACCTCCTCCTTGATCCCCGCTCTCCTCAACTGAATGGAGTAGACTTTCTGCAGATAAAAAGAAATTATTTGGAATTAAAAGGCGTACTCACCCCCCTTCGTCTCAGCTACCTAAATATACCCAACCAACAATATTTAATTTTTTTGTAAATAATAATAATAACTAGAGGATCAGAGAGGCGATACCGCCTCCGAATATTGTACCACCAGCTGGAGTAAGCGCATTCGTATAGACCCCCCCACACAAAAAAGGGACACCACCACCAGTCTTGTGCTTGACAAGCTGTAAAAATAGCAATCTACAAGAATTCTCAAAATATGCAAAAAATATATATAACTAAAAATGGTACAATCAAAGTTCAGTTCATCGTAAGGTAGGTCAAAGGTCAATTTCAAGGTCACAGTAAATTTCCAGTATATGACTTCCTATTCAAGTTCAATAGTAACTATGGACCTATCTTTGCCAGTTTTGGAGATAAAAGGGAACGACAATTTGCAAAGTTCAATTCATGATGAAAAGTAGGTAAAAGGTCAATTTTAAGGTCACAGTAAATTGCCTCTAATGACTTTCTATTCAAATTCAATAGTAGCTATGGGCGTATCTCTGCCAGTTTTGAAAATAAAAGCATTAAAAAGTTGCAAAGTTCAGTTTATGGTGTTAAGTAGGTCAAAGGTCAATTTCAAGGTCAGAGTAAGATAACAAGTATATCACTTCCTATTCAACTTTAATATTAACTATGGACCTATTTCTGCCAGGTTTGGAGTTAAAAGGGAAAGAAATTAGCAAAGTTCAGTTCATGGTGATAAGTAGGTCAAAGGTCAATTTTAAGGTCACATATATTGCCTCTAATGACTTTCTATTCAAATTCAATAGTAACTATGGGCGTATCTCTGCCAGTTTTGAAAATAAAAGCATTAAAAAGTTGCAAAGTTCAGTTCATGGTTAAAAGTAGGTCAAAGGTCAATTTAAAGGTCACAGTAAATTGCCTCTGACTTTCTATTCAAATTCAATAGTAACTATGGGCATATCTCTACCAGTTTTGAAAATAAAAGCATTAAAAAGTTGCAAAGTTCAGTTTATGGTGTTAAGTAGGTCAAAGGTCAATTTCAAGGTCAGAGTAAGATAACAAGTATATCATTTCCTATTCAACTTTAATATTAACTATGGACCTATTTCTGCCAGGTTTGGAGTTAAAAGGGAAAGAAATTAGCAAAGTTCAGTTCATGGTGATAAGTATGTCAAAGGTCAATTTTAAGGACACATATATTGCCTCTAATGACTTTCTATTCAAATTCAATAGTAACTATGGGCGTATCTTTGCCAGTTTTGGAGATAAAAGGGAACTAAAATTTGCCAAGTTAAGTTCATGGTAAAAAGTAGGTCAAAGGTCAATTTTAAGGTCACAGTAAATTGTCTTTAATGACTTCATATTCAAATTCAATAATAACTATGGACGTATCATTGCCAGTTTTGGAGAAAAAAGGTAACCAAAATTTGCAAAGTTCAATTCATGATAAAAAGTAGGTCAAAGGTCAGTTTCAAGGTCACATTTAGATTGCCAGTATATGACTTCCTATTTAATTTCAACAGTAACTATGGACCTATCTCTGCCAGTTTTCGAGATAAAAGGGAACCAAAATTTGCAAAGTTCAGTTCATGGTAAAAAAGTAGGTCAAAGGTCAATTTTTAAGGTCACAGTAAATTGCCTCTAATGACTTTCTATTCAAATTCAATAGTAACTATGTGCGTATCTCCGCAGTTTTCAAAGTGTAAGCATTAAAAAAGGTGCAAAGTTTAGTTAAGGTGTAAAGTAGGTCAAAGGTCAATTTCAAGGTCAGAGTAAGATTATCAGTATATGACCTCCTATTCAACTTCAATAGTAACTATGGACCTATCTCTGCCAGTTTTAGAGATGATAGGGAACCAAAATTTGCAAAGTTCAATTCATGATGAAAAGTAGGTCAAAGGTCAAATTCAAGGTCACATTTAGATTGCCAGTATATGACTTCCTATTCAAGTTCAATAGTAACTATGGACCTATCTCTGCCAGTTTTGGAGATAAAAGGTAACCAAAATTTGCAAAGTTCAATTCATGATAAAAAGTAGGTCAAAGGTCAATTTCAAGGTCACAT